GCAAAGGTAATGATGGAGGGAGAACTTACAGATTTTATTAATATAAGAAAAGGCACAAGACAAGGATGTCCCCTATCTCCTTTGCTATTTGTATTGACTTTGGAAGTGTTGAATAGAAATATTAGAGATGATAAAAGCATAAAAGGAATGAAAATTAAAAAGGAAGAATTTAAACTGCAAGCTTTTGCTGACGACTTAGTCTTTATTTTGGAAGATCCGTTAGAAACAGCTCCAAAGTTATTGGAAAAGATAGAGATATATGGTGAGGTGGCTGGTTTGAAAATAAATAAAGACAAAACAAAGATTTTGACAAAGAACATGCTACTGAGACAAAGAGAAGAACTGGCAGACCTGTTGAAAATCCAAGTTACGAATAAGGTTAAGTATCTGGGGATACATTTGACAGCAAGATGTAGCACATTAAAAGAGAATAATTATATTAAACTTAAACAACAGATAGCTATAGACTTGAAGAAATGGGAAAACTTGCAATTGTCATTAATAGGGAGAATTTCAACAATTAAGATGAATGTTTTACCCAGAATCCTATTTCTCTTTCAAACAATACCAATTAGGCTTGGAAAAGACTATTTTGATGATTTAAATAAAATTATGTTGAAGTATATATGGCAAGGTAAGAAAGCGAGAATAAAGCTAAAGCTTTTGCAAGATGCTAGAATTAGAGGAGTTTTGGCCTGCCCAATTGGGAATTGTACTATCAAGCTGCAAGTTTGATGTGGGTTAAGGAATGGATAACATTAAGAAAGACTAGATTGTTGACATTAGAAGGTCATGACTTGCTGTTGGGTTGGCATGCTTTTTTATGGTATAAGGCAGTGGTCCCCAACCTTTTTTGTACCAGGGACCAGTTTCAAGCACAAACACTTTTTCAAGGGCCGGGGGGGGGGGGAAGAATCTGAGTTTGGTGGTTTGCTTGCAGACGTTTCATTACCCGACTAGGTAACATCTGATGTTGTTACCTAGTTGGGTAATAAAACGTCTGCCAGCAAACCACCAAGTTCAGGGAGCGCCTCGGCCCTGCCTCCCTCAGCCCCATCCCTCAGGTGTCTCCCTCCCTCCCTCAGGTGTCTGCCTCGTTCCTCTCTCAGTCGCTCTCTCGCTGCTCCACCAGCCCAGGAAGAAACTGATTCAAAGAAGCGGGGGGTGGCTTTTCCTGTCGCCGCAGCTCCTCTGAAGCGCCCGTTTACTCCCACCCCCACCCCGCCCGCCCGCCCGCGCACGGTTCAATCCACAGTGCTCCGTTCTGCCTGCCTGCCTGCCTTCTTCGTTTCGGAGCATCTTCGGCTGATAAAAAGAGGCGAATAGTTATTATTCTCAGCCGAAGCTGCTCCCAAACAACCAAACAGGCAGGCAGGCAGAATGGGGCACTGAATTGAACCGCGGGCGGGCGGGCGGGGTGGGGGTAAACGGGCGCTTCGGAGGCGCTGCGGCGACAGGAAAAGCCACCCCCCCTGGCTTCTTTGAAGCAGTTTCTTCCTGGGCTGGTGGAGGAGCGAGAGAGCGACTGAGAGAGGAACGAGGCGGGAGGAAACCGAAGCTGCTGAGCCAGAGAGCAGGACAGGCTTTGGTTGCTTCCTCCCTCCCCTTCTCTCATTTGTGTCCTTGATCCCCGATCCCAGCAGCATTCACCGAAGGTGAAGAAAGCCGCCATTTTTTAATATTTTTTTTATTTGCGGCCCGGTACAGAGTGCTCCACGGACCGGGACCGGTCCGCGGCCCGGTGGTTGAGGACCCCTGGTATAAGGGAACTAAAACACAGGGTTATTTTAGAAGACATTATATACGGGAGTCTTTGTGGTTAAACTGGGAGAAGATAAAAAGACAATATTATTTGAAAATTCCAGTTTGGTTATCGACTATTGAAGCATTTTCCTATCCTATAATTTATAAGAAGGAACAAACAGTTAGATATGGGGAACTATTGGATGAAAAGGGTGAACTTAAATCGATACAAAATTTAGAGGAACAAGGTATAAAGATGAATTGGTTTTCATATGCGCAAATACATTCAAGGTATGATGAAGATTCTAAAACAGAGGGATTCTATGATAAACAGACTGATCTAGATAAGATCTTGATGGGTACTGATGAGAAGGTGATTAAAAAATTATATGGTTATTTATTGGGAATTAAATTAGAAGAAGAACAAGTTAAAGAAACTATGATTGTTTGGGGGAAGAATTTTGGATATGGGATTGATTTAGAGAAATGGCAAAATTATGGTCTCAAAATTATAAAATGACAATGTCAACAGCATATAAGGAAAATTTGTATAAGATGTTTTACAGGTGGCACTTTCCTCTGACAAGAATAGCAAGAATGTTCAAGGACAAATCTGAAAAATGCTGGAAATGTCATCAGATACCTGGCTCATATTACCATATGTGGTGGACTTGTGAGGACGCTAAAAAATATTGGACTAAAATTCGCATGTGGTTGGAAAAAATGACAAAGAAACGTATAGATTTGAAACCGGAGTTCTTTTTATTGGGAATTTTACCAGATACATATAGTAAAGATTTGAAATATCTGATTGTAAATGTGTTAACAGCGGCTAGGATTGTATTTGCTAAAAACTGGAAGAATGAGAAAATACCATCACAGGAAGAAATTATTAAGAAAATATTGGAATGTGCTGAGATGAGTAGATTGACATTTGAAATTAGAGAGCAAGAGGATAAACAATTTTATGAAATTTGGGATCTTTTTTATCAGTGGCTAGATGACAAAATACGATAATAGAATATTTAGAAAGTTAGATAGCAAGGAATTTCTTTTGCCTATGTTATTTGACATTATAACTATAAAGTGTTTTTAGGATAGATTTGGTATGATTATATGATTTGTTATAGAATAAACTGTTTAAAGTATTGTTATCTCATAAAGCATGAATGATTAAAAGTATAGTCAAATGATTTATTAATAGCGATATTAGGATATATGTTTGGATTGACAATATGAGTTGTTATGTAATATAACTGTAATTGAGACTACGAAATGAATGCATAAAACTGATGAACCAACCGACACACTGTACGTACATAAGAGAGTTGATGTTTTAATGTTTTGTTTGTCTTGTTTGTTTGTAGAAAATCAATAAAATTGTTTTCAAAAAAAAAAAGGAGTAACTCCAAGCTCTAAGTATGATCCTTTATGAGGAATACAGTACTGTCCAGAGTAGGTTGAATTCCATTCACCTGGGCATATGCCATTCACTGTCAGAACCTCTCCTTGTCTGAATTGAGCTTCAATGTTTGGGGTCTTATCTAGTCCACTACTGCAATGGCTCAATAATTGCACCCAAGCCAATGGAAAGAAGAAATAGAACTTGGTGTCATCAGCCCATTGATGCCATTTTATTCTATATCTGTGAATAATCTCTCTTGTAGGGAGGAATTTAGAAACTTCCCACTTAATGTGATCAACCATGAGATAAAAAGACTGGGCAAATATATGGTTGGCTGAACATGATCAGCCACCTATTCAGTTAATCAAATATTAAAAACTGAAGTCTGGACTTGCAATATTTCCACAGACTGAATTGCCAAAACTTAACATTGTAACTCACAAGAAATGTGATAGATTTTACCTTCAGAGCATCTAGTAAATATAGATAGTCCTCAGTTAGTGACTGTTTGAAATTACAGCGGATCTCAAAGAATCTAGATTCAAAGTTCCAGTGCTGCTCCTTCCTTACCTGTGGTCATGTGATTACAGTTTAGGCACTCAGCAACCGGCCTATATTTATGACCATTTGTAGTGTTACCCAATCACAATTTATGATGCTTTTTGTGGGGAAAAACATCCATTGTGAATGATTGCCAAATGTATATGTATATGTATAAAAGCCTCCAATACAGGAAACACAATGTTGCCAGCCAATCAAGACAAAAAAACGCTACAAAACAGACAGAAGATATTAGAAACACCAATCAAGCAGAACACAGCAAACTCCAAGACCAATAAACACAGACCAAGACTCCCAACCAATCAGGATGAAGAAAAAACCATTTTAACACAGCAGTAGGCTAGCACCAAATTTAAAACAGAAATGGCTGTGAAAGTCTGACTCACAGATGAACACAATACAGAAGCCTGATGATGGCAGATGAGATTCTGCCGAAACGTCGCTACAACTTTAAAAGCACAACTATAATGACGTGGGAAAATACCCGAACAAAGCTGAATGCCATACATATAGATACCCACAAAAACTTGGGCTCAATTATAACTCTTTAAGTTGAAGGCATCTTTAAAGACTAATAAAGTTTTTTTTTTAATGAATAGATTGCTACTTTGATAGGCAACAAGTTGTGAGAGAAAAAGAATAAATTGCAGCAATTTTCCCTTCCTGATTATATGAATGACATTGGGAGCTACAGATTCTCAGAGCAGGAATATCAATTACATCAACACATAATAGTCTCAGCTCTAAAGTCACAAAATAAAATGTCCAGGCCTAAAAGAAATGCAGAATATAGCAAAACTATTTACAGCACAAAAAATAGCAGCAGTAGTGCTGCTTCTTTTCCTCCATAACAACAATATATTTCATTTGTTTGCTTGCATGTATGTGATGGAGGTTGAGAGATTTTTAAATTCTTCAGAAATATATTCTTCTTTGTGAAATGTAAAATTGCTTGATCTATCCTGACAGGAACAGTTTGATTCATTTAGTTAACTTTTGTGATCTTCCATTGAACCATTGAAGGATATTACCAAATCTTTTGAATGATATGTAGGGAATAGAGGAACCTTTTATGATTATTATGGTTAAAACGTGCATAGGCATTATAGATGAACTTGTGAGGGATAAAAGTTCAGTTAAACTAGGTTATCTTCCATTACTTTTAAGGTTTTGTTTTGACTAAGAATTGGTGGGAGGATAAGGAAGAAAGGGTTTACAAATTAATGTGTAAAGAAAATTATATTCATGAGTGTGATACTGCATGTATATATTATTGCATTGTATCTTCTAGGCAATACAATTAATGAAGAAAGAAATAATTTGGAAAATAAACCTCCACTATGTGTGACAGGAGCTCAGTTTGATCTTACTCAGGTCAGAAATCCCTTATCTGTTGTTTTGAAAAATATGAGATTGAATTAGGGATAACAGGTCTGGTTTGCAAAATTACAGACAGCCATAAATATGGCAGCAAAGAGGCATTGAAAAATAATTCTTTGCTGTAGTCTAGATATTGCAGCCCAGATAACTTGCTGAATAGCAACATTTGCTTTTTTACTTAGTTACAGTTTTAAATATGTTTCTGTCATAAACAGAATTATAATTAGATTCTCTCAGAATTAGAGGATCAACAGGCACTCCAGCTAATATTTGGTAAGTGAACCAGTTCTGCCTGTAATACAAAGTGTTGTACTGCTATTGTATGATTTTATTAAGTAATGTTATTAATGGTGTTGTGGTATTTATCTTAAAATTGTGCATTTATTGCTATCACTATCATTTGTAATGCTTTAAAATGTTATTACCGCAGGTAACATTTAATATGTAAATTCATATTTATAGATAATGTATTTATCTGCATATTAAAATTTGTAACAGTGTAAAGTATAAAACAATATGCAAACAGTTCAATTACTGCTAGGTTAAAAGAATTTAAACTTGCTTTAAAGACTTCAAAATTTAATATGAATGGAAAGGAAAAGAAGGCACTGATATATTAATTATTCAGTGGTATTATGATTGGTTAACTGTACTGATAATCAATACAAATGTAATGGCAAGATTCATAGTAATAATTTATCTGATTAATATATCCAATCTATTAGGGTAAAGGCAATATGTTTAACAATGACTTACCCTGATATTTTCACTGCAGTAATTTCTAACTAAAGTATGCTAACTATATTGCTAACTGGAAATAACCAGATTATTTCTGTTTCCAATTATCTCTGCTTATCCTATGAATTCTGATAAAGTAGACACGCTTAAGATCCCTTCGGTAAAGCAGTGTCACCTAGCAGCAGATATACTTCTTTTGCAGCATCTGCCCTGTAGAACAACATCCCACCTGACATTAAGATGGCTGACCCTGTTGGGTCTCTATAAGGCCCCAAAACCTGGTTCTTTTCCTGGCCATTGGACTAGAACATAGAGATGATCCTATCCCAAAATGAAAGATCTTCAGTAAAATATACAATAGTTGGTCTCTGTTATTCTGTTTTCTGCTTAATTTGTTAATGTTTTCTTTTTGTGCCTTCATTTTTTTTGCTTCTATCCAAGTAAAGCCTAGAGTCATATTTGTGAAAGTGATTTACATAAATATGAAATAAATACATAATGTAGGATTAGAACTCAAAGTCTTCTGATTTCTAGTCAAGGGCTTTTAACCACCATGTCAAACTAGTTGTAGAAATATGTAGACATAAATATAATATATATTGGATAATGAGCTTTTGTTATTTAAACTGATTAAATTTAATAAATAAAATTGATTTTGGTTATTCATGATTGACATGAACTTACCAGCAGTTCAAAATATGTAAACATTCAAGTCAAAATATTATTTTATTGTATGCTATATGTTAGTGAGGAAATACAGAGGGAACAGATATAAGCAACCAATGCCTGAATAATATTTTTCAGTCAATACAGTACAAGAATTTTTATAGACACAATTGCATAGACATAATTATTCTGTTTATTAGGACAATAGGCATGATAAACCTTCTCAGAAATTGTGAGATTAGGGTTAATGTGTCCATTACACAGTAAACAAATTTACAAAAGACTAGTTGCTTGGATAAAATTATCAGAGACATTATTCTTAATTTATGTAGGCATTAAACGGCTGTGAAATATTGTTAAAATTAAGAGTGGTCCCATATCATTAGAATCCAATTTGACTCAAAGAATATTTACTTTTTAATTTTTAATTTATCATTTTATTTAGTGTAGAAAGTAGTCCCACAATAATTGGGTCAAACACATTATCAAATAATTAATAAGTCTTTGACAAAATATATCTGCTTGCCTGATCCTGCAGTTCCTCCTTGAGAGCACTTTGTATATGCCTAGAATAAGTATTTTTCTTATTTGTTAACTAATTATAAAAAGAACCATTATCATGATTAATCAGAATTCAAGGACATTCATATTTTAAATTGTTTCCTGCCAGGTAATTTTTTTAAAATGAAAGAATAATCTTGTCACTTCCAGTTCCTTTCATTCAGTCTACCTCTCACAAATTTCTTGTCCTCTTATTTCAAGCAACTTATTCTTTTTTTTATTAAACAAATTTTATTGATTTTAAAGACAAACAAAACATAAGACATCAAAGTATAAAACCTCCTTTCTCAAAAATTACTTATAAGTTTTAACAAGGCAAATAAGGCATTATTTTTTAAAGCATAGTTCCACATTATCACATTTCCATTTAGACACATATATATCTTTTCCAAATTTCTCATTATTTCTCCCTTCAAGCAACTTATTCTTATTATTCCTGACTTACCACTTCCTATTTTCTCTCCCCCTAACTTCAGACATTAGCTCTCATACTGTCCAATCTTTTACAATCCTGTTAAACTGCCATGACCAAGTTTCTAATCGCTAATTGAAACTGAAAAATAAGCCACTGATTTTTCTACTCTACTTCATTCCACTCACCAAAATGTTCATTGTTCACAGAAGGCAACTATATGCTCCCTGAACCAAATATATATATATATTCCTAGAGAACCCTCAGGCTCAGGAATCTGTCATTAGCTTTAAAAAATGCCAATTGGAAAAATCTTTATAAATGTGCTTTAATGCCAGCATAGAATTGAATCATATTTTATTAGAAATCTTTAGATATTCTGTATCTTTAAATCAGAATCTTCTTAAAATGATGGTTCTGTGTAGATTATTTTAAAAGAAAAATAACAATAGTATCACTTTAAATATCAGTGAAAATTTGTTTTTTAGCTGATGTACTCTGTTCCCCCCCCCCCCAAAGGTATATTGTTCTTTGGTGTTTTTCCTCAATATTCATAGAAAGTGCTCAATCTTTAAGTGAAGTGGATATATGTTAGTATTTAATACTTGCTCTACATAGGGACTAATAATCATAACATGTTTATGAGTATTCTTGTTTTATTTCATTCCATAAAAAACTACTGTATTTGTATCATTTCAAAATTTACTTTAGAAGACAATAGAAACGTTAACAGGGAATATAATTACCAATCATTAATCATGATGACAGTCATACATTACTACTACCATGTAAATATTATAGACCTTTCAATGCTATTTGTCAAAAATTTGAACATGAAGCATACTTGCATTCATGTCCTGTTTGTGGTCTTCTCATAAGTATCTGGTTAGCCATTGTGAAAAAAAATGATAGACAAGAGAACCTGGGAAATGATTCAGTGCAAATCTTTTTGTTCTTTCTCTCATTTTCTTAGGCAAATTCAGAAAACCAGTCAAAGTTGACTGAAGCAGACATTGAACTGGAAGCAAAGAAAAGTCAGAATATGGAAAGCAGTTCTGTGTTGGAATTTCCAAATGATGTACCTTTTGCTCTTGCACCACACATTCTGTCAATACAGGATACCTGTAATGATTTCTCAAGACAATTGATCTCCTGTGATGTTAATGACAATTTAGCACGATTTTGGTATGATTTTACACTTGAAAATTCAGTATTATGTGAATCTTAAACTTGGGGTACTTATTATAAAATGTACCTAAAGCACTTGAAATAAAATATGCTAGTATCATCTGTCTGTATCTACCACTAGTCTGACAGAACATTACCATTTTCCATCATTGTCATGTTTCTTACATGACAATGTAAGAACAGCTAAGCCAAACATTACAAGTCAATTACAGTAAATAGGCTATAATCTGCACTCACTGAAAATAATCATATAAACTTCCAGACATTGATGTTAGCTTAGTCCTTGCTTGATCATAGGAAAACAAATGTTATATTGTATTGTAATTTACAAATAATTAACTTATACTATGATTTTAATAAATTATTTAATTTTATTACAGCATAGCTTTTGTTGGGAAATTCACAACAAAATTTTAAACTAAATTTACACATCATTAGTGCAGAATGAATTGATATCAAATATATGAGGTTGACTTTGGAATTTGATTCATGTTTCTAAGGACTGTAGTTTTTGGTTGGTTATTCAAGTTTTGTATTCTATGTTCAGTTTCTGTATTGAAAGTTTTTGTTGCATCTAACTAGAGTCCAGTCGGGATATATAAATATGCAATACATTGTGTCAGTCTATATGTATACATATGATGGGTGTATAGGTATATATGCAGATAAGTACATAATATCAGGGGTGGGATACGACAGGGTTAACTACTGGTTCGGTGATTTACAAGGGTCGGTGATTTTATGATGTGTTTCCCTGCACGCTGTGAGCACACGCCTGCGTGCAGAGAAGCAGCCTTTGAAACAGCCCTCTTTTCCTGCTTTTTAAACTGCAGCTGTGCCTCGTTCGGCAGCTGAAGTTGAAAAATCAGGAAATAAAGATCAGGTAAGAGCCCGGGTGGGCAGGTGGGCAAAAACATCAGCAGACATAGAACCCGTCCTATGTCTGCTGCTCTTTAGAGCTACCGGTTCTACAGAGGTGGACAGAACCAGTAGAAACCCACCCCTGCATAATATATATATGCATGTCTATAAATTTATTTAAACCAGTAAAATAGCAATGGATATTTAAAGTACCTTATACCAGTATAGCTTTTCATGAAATACTGTGAGCCATCCTTCTCTAACTTTATCTCCTTCTGTTATTTTATTTTCTTCATTCCTTTATGCAATGAAGAACAATATACAAAACATAAAAGGTAGATAATATTGTGTAAATATAATCGTATTTTAAACAACAAATTAAATCTTAAGCAGAACCATATTGTCCAGTCTTTCTGTTGTATGATAAAGAAGCTAAGAATGCAAACATTTCTTCAAGCTAGCCTTTAGTATTGAGTATATAGTATTCTTTCCAAGCAGATATTGATTTCTCCAGGAGAAGCCTGATATTTTGTTTTTTTTCTCTGGTATGAGAAAGGAAGAAAGTGATGGCCAATGAGGGGGAGAAAATAAAGAATGGCTAAGAGAGAAAATGTTAATATATTGTCAAAATTACAATATTATACCATAATTATTAATCAAATTATAAATGAATTTTCAAAGACTAGGCTTATGAAAAGTGGTAAACTTTATTCCAACCTATACAGGTCTTTATCATTTCTCTTTCTTGAGATCCAGTAGACAGAGCTGGAAAATATCTAGCTTTTTAAATTCTATGTATAAAAATTGATACAATAATATCTAAAAAAAATCCTGCAAAATATTTGACATTATTTACAAATCATTTTTTCTAATTAAATCTGATTTTGAAAAATTGTTTGACTTGCAGCTCATTTTTTTTATTCATGAATCAATAAATCTTTTATAAAACATCATAAAATAAAAATGTAATTATTTTGCAAAAGCCAGATAAGATATGCCTGTGGATTCAATAAAACCATCTTTCTGTACATGGTTAATGATGTTGGGGTTTTGTCTGGTGATGACTTGAAACTGGGCTTTCTCAGACCTGTAGATTGTAGCACATCATACTATAAATATGAGTCTTAGCCTTTATGAAAGCCTCAAAATCTGTCTGTTTCATAATTTTAATAATTGCTAATAGTGTTAAATGGTTTTTAATATGAGCTTTGTGTATATTTTGTTTAAATACATTTAAATTATTTCATTTCTACTGTAAACATCCCTGAGTCATTTTGAAATGTAGGTGTGGAAATAAAATAAATAATTATAACAATAAATTTCATATATATCTTCTTTTTTCTTTGTCCTGTTTTCTTTCACTTTTTTGTTAAAGCATTTTCTATGTGTTCTCTTTTTCTTTCTTTCTCTCTCTCTATTTTTGTATATACAAGTATATATCTCCATATCTATTATTTTTGTGTTGGTTTTTGGTATTAATTAAAAAGCAATAAAAATAAACAATATTTCAGTACTATTAATATAGTAATAATAAACTAGAAATAATAATAAATAACAGATATATTTGTAAATTTGTTCTCAAGGTAAAACAATATTCAACATTATCCAAGACTGTACTGCTTTAGTTAAAGTAAAAACAATTTTGTTTTCAGATTTTTTTCATCTATTTAATCTTATAACTTTAATGTTGTAATCCATGGCCCACCTCTAGATAGAAGACAATTTGTTCATAATTGCTGTTTAAAACAGTTTCAAAAGGTGTAGAAATGTGCCAGTTAATAATTTGATGTACTACGTGGAAATAATATATTTCTTTTTATTATTCATATGGGGCATTTTAAATAGACCAGTTAATTATACATGGAAACAGGGTAAAAGAATGTAGACTTAGCCATGGGATGGGGAAGGAATAAGCAAACTGAATAAATACTGAGAAAGAGGAAAGTATAAGATAAACTAAACCCTCTCTGCCTTGCTTTTATTTAATATTGGGTAGAAAACTCTTAACAGGCTTTCAAGATTCTGTTATTCCAGTCAAAAACAATAAAAGAGTATTCTTAAAATCCATGCTATGGTACTTTCTAGATTTCATCTATTTTCAAGAGCTGGCACTGGAGAATGATAACTTATTTTAGTATGGTTGTTCCTGATTCCTGGTTTATAAAAGGGGAAGATGAAAAAAAAAATAGAACTATATGATTTGAGAATTTGTTAATGCAGCAAAAACCTCATATTCTGATTATATCTAAACCATGACATTCTAAAGTAGCGTTTTTCAACCTTGTTTGCCTGAGGATATGTGAACTTCAACTTTCAGAATTTCCCTGTCAGCCATACACTGAATTGTTTCAGTTAAGTTAATAACACAGTTATTAAAAGATTCTAGCTTTCCCAAAGCTTCTGACAAGCAGTCAGAAGGTTGCAAAAGCTGATCACATGACTTTAGAACACTGCAACTGTCAAAAACATGAGCCAGTTGTCAAGCACCTGAATTTGGATCACATGACCATTTCAACCTGGAAATGTGCTCCCTTACCATCATCAACTCTTGAATAATATGATTGCTATACAAAAATTAAAACTCCTGAGCAGAACTAGAGACTAGCCTTATCAATTGATATCAGGATTGACATTTGATGCATCTGTGAGTCATGTATGTAGCTAGATTGACATTATTGGTGATATAAGTATATAACCTGGGTCTGAAAGATTCAAATATTACTTGTTAACCCCTTATTTAGGGTAGAAGTTTGTTTTGGGATGTTTACATCTCATTTGCCATTGTATCTTGATAAATGGAAAAAATGGGGGACATAAGAGTCAGAATGTAGTACAGTACATGTTCAGTGTTCACTTATAGAGACTTGCTCTCCTAGGACGGGTATGTGTTGATATATAAATACAAAATACAAGACTAGAAATATAGCTACAGAATACTCTTTATGTCAATGGTTGCTAAAAAACAGAAATGATTTTATTCAGAGAGATAATAGAATAATATGAGTAAAGTATGATGGAATATGCTGGGCCAATAGCAGCAGTGGCAATTCTCTTTCCCCATCTTTCTTTGTACTTCAACCAACATTCCAGTGATGACAACACTGTTGGAAGAAAAAAAGGCTGATGCCAAGAATGAATCCTTTGGAGATCCATTCATTTGTAAGTAGTTAGAGTATAGTCAGCTTCCAAGAACAGAAAAGAAAAAAAAACCCTAAAACTTAGCTTTCAATACTTGGACTTAACATATGCAATCTCTCCTCTCCCCCCAAAAAGTCTATTAAATCAGACTTTATAGCATTAGTTGGAGTTTTTAATTATTGGTTGCAAATTAATCTTGTATTTTGCTCTGTTTTATTTATTTATTTTTAAATGGTATCTCAGTTCTCTGCTGTATTAATATTTTCATATGACAGAGCATTCTTATCAGGTTTGCTGGCTGGCATCAGGAACCCCCTTCCACCTCTGTCACTATCTGGTCCCTCCTTCCAAATGCCATTCTAAGAAATTGGATGCCCCTTCCTTGTAACTATAGAGACTAATCATGTAGCCTTTTCACCTACAAATTCCAACCATACAGAAAATGCATAGAGTTTCCCACCATTCCCTTCTGAACCAGGACCATCTACCATCCCTTCTGTAATCTCTGTACTATAATGGGAAGAATGAATCAAAGATGAAATGTATTTTGGATTCTTAGCACTTATTGAAAGGACTTCCAAAGATTCTTGAGCGATAACAGATGGTTGCATGCTTTATAAATATCACAACAGTTCATCTGCAAGAATTTCAAAAGCCTAGCGTGCATGACTGGCCATGCAGCCAAGTTTCTGCATCTGCCCACAGTTCTGTCTCAGGGATAGAACAGACTTGCTAGGGAAAAAAGTACAAAAACTAAAGATGAAAGGGAGAGTTCTAGAGTTCTAGACAAAGATATATAAGAAATGGAAATTCCACCTTCCTCTGTGTCTTTGGACAAGAGAAAGAAGGAATGGAAAGCCTGTAACAAAAGGAGATCGTGTCTGCTCTAAATGAAGAAAAAATAGAAATGGAAGGGGCAATACTCATAATCTGCCAGCTGATAATAAAAAAACAAAAAGGTACAAGAATGTATTTCCAAGGGTACAAGAATCAGATATATTGTTGAAAAATTATAAAGCCATTGCTGTATATCATATGTGAGTCCTATTAGAAATCAAGGTTCAAAATCATATTGCTTCTTTTTCCATGCAACTAATGCAGATGTCCTCTTTTGAACAAGAGGATATTTATTTATTGCTCTCCATGGCAACTCTGGGGTTTTCATCTGTCTCTTTTGTTTTGGTAATAGACAGATCTGGTGTCAGATTGGTTTGTTGTTTTAAATAGGATTAGCTCTCACATAATCAGAAAGAGGGAGGAGAAGAATTATTTAATAACTCCAGGATGAAAGTAATAATTTAATCACTCAGAGAGAGAGAGAAGGGAAGGAGAAAATAGGGAAGGAGATAATAATACAAAGGCTGGACCTGATAAAGTGGAACTAACAGTTTTCAGGTTAGAGAGAAATGTTATCTAAATATATGAACTGCTACCAGGCAAAATGATAAGTATTTGTATTACTGCAATGTGAACTCCTGTTTCAGTTTGCGGTTTCACTATTATTCTCTTTCCTGCACAGTTTTAAGAGCTGTTAACTGAAATTAATTTCCGGATGCAATTCAAGCTGGTGATTGAAATGTTTGATATTCTATCTGGCTCCAGACTTGGTTACCTTAAAGACTACCTTCTGTATCCATTTGCCTGCTTTGATCAGATTCAGCAGATTCCCATGAATTCCATT